GGAGGCGTATTCCTGACGTCTATCATGGGATTGGTAGTTGGATCCCTGCTCGCACTCGTTTAAACAGTGACTCGACACTGGTTACTTCATTTCATCCCTCCCTACAATTTAGTTAGCGTTGGCATCATTCTACTAGTAGATGGATTCTTGAATCTCATTGCGGCATCCGGAGCGTTTACAGTTTGAAGTCTGAATGAGCGCTGCGTATATGTTACCGGGCCGATCGTGATAAGGTGCCATTGTAGCACAGGTTGACGAAAGAGCTAGCGCATGGGCGACGTTCTCACTGAGAGGTATCTGAAAATTGAAGATCCGGAAGATTAGTTCGTCGCAAATAATTAAACATAAGATGGTACAGGATAGACTCGCCGAAGGTACTTTTAGGCATCCTTCACGTACAAGTTCAGATCCGCCTTCTTGACCAACATCTCCACAATCTCCACAGCGCGCTTGAACTTCGCCTTGTCCTCCTCGCTCGCCTTCACGCTACTGTTCCCACCGCCGCATCCCTGCGGGCCGCCGTTGTGCCACTCGAAGTCATCGCTCCTCCATTCGATGCTGGTGTCCACCCCGTAGATATCTTGGCTGCCTTTCGGGTTCTCGGTGGGGATGCTCTTCAGGATGGTGTGCAGCTCGTCGACGAGCGAATCTGCCTCCTGCTTCTTCCCTTCGGTGAGCGACTGGGGGCCCAAGTTGTCTTGCAGCGAAGGCGTCCCATCCGGTCGCACGGCGGCAGTTATCGACAGCCTGGATGCATCGGGAGATGGCGAAACGCTGTACACGGCATTCGGAGTGGGAGGCGCGAAGCCGCCGGTTATGCCTGCCAGAACAAGAGAGTTAAATAGAACCAGCGGATGAGGAAAAGAACAACGCACCGTGCTGAAGCCTGAGGAGATATTCGGCGGGAGGCATGGTGTGGTACAAGAACAAGATAGCGTCACCCAACGGAGATCGTCGCCATCGTCGCGATCGGGCTCGATCGGGTCAAGATCGGGTCCAGTTGGAACGCTCGGAACTAACCGGGCCGCCCGCGCTTCAGCATGGGGGCCGGAGGCAAGGACTGCCCAAGAAACTGAGCGAAATAAAACCAAATTGGTGCAAGAAATATGATTGTATTGCTGTCGTATTTAGACGCTGGGCGTGGAATTCAGGCCTCTCGCTTTACAGCTCTTTGCAGAACTTAGGGCGCGACCGGTTTTTCCCCCGTTTGGGCCGGTTTTGATCCCCGCAGAATGCAACACTCGCCCTGGCCTGGGTTCTGGCCCGTTTCCCTCGAAAATAGGCTGGTCGTATGCGCATCTAAAGGGAGCATACGACTGCCTCCGAGGAATTTTCACGCGAGAATTTAGGGACATTCGTAGCGCAAAAAACCTGTAAAATTGATCAAATATCAGATGTTCTGACACTGTAACACTTGCCCTGTCTTCAATTCCGGCCCGTTTCACTTGAAAATAGGCTCCGTCAATCCGCTTGCCAAGGCTGCATAGGACTGTGCGTTCAGGCCTTCCACACACAGGATAGGGCGAGTCGACATGGTTGGGTTTTCTGTGTTTGGTCTGGTGTTTTCAGTATCTGCACTGGAACGCTTGCCCTGTGGGCAATTCGTAACGGTTTCCTCTGAAAAATGGTTTAAACGACTCGCACGTTGATTCTGCATCGGACAGCATCTTTGGAATGTTGATGGATGTCGAAAGACCGGCGCTCCCGCAGTGAGGTCCGAGAATGGCTTGATAATGGCGGCTCAGGATCGTAAACTGAGCTAGTACGATCCTGGGAGTCACTTGAGCCAATTCGGCTGCATTCGCCAGCGTCTGGGCTTCCCTTTTGACCATTTAAACATCGAGTAGCTGCGCAGCGAGTGGCTCAGAGCCAAGAGGTGGGAAAGTGACGGGTGTGACGGGTGTGACATACAGTGACTGACACCAGTGAGGGCGTCGCGCACAGCGAATAGAGGCGTTCCGCGGAGTTTTTTTATGGCCAGGGGGTTGTCTCTACCCCACAGCGTGTGCCTGTGGCAGGACAGACCTCTGAGTGGACCAGAAACATAAGGGGAGGTGTATTGATTATAATATATATACTCTTTTCAAAAGGCTAGGGATCGCCACCGTACCGTATACGGTTACGGCCGTAAGAATACGGGTGCTTTACGGCGCCATTCTGACCCCCACCGTACCGTATACGGTACGGTCCGTAGGCCGTATGTTTACGGTATACGGTTCGTTGAAAATCCATTGTGGCAAGGGTAGTGTTCTTCCAAACTCTGAAATACATTATTTCTTATCCATCTTTATACATCTGAATGATTCAGTAGCTCCCGCGACGCGTCAATTCAGAGTTACAAAAACAACCGTACCGTACCGTAACCGTATGAGGTCGTCCAGAGGCTATACGGTACGGTTACGGCAACCGTATAGGCCGTAACCGTAACCGTATTATACGGCTACGGTGGCGATCCCTACAAAAGGCTGTCTAGAAAGTGTCCCAACGGCCTGGGAAAAGATACCAGAGACGCAGTCTCATGTCAAATAGGGGCGTCAATCGTTTGCACCAATTTTCAGGGGAAACGGTTTCGAAATGCCGACAGGGCAAGTGTTACACTGCGGACACTCGAAATACGGAAGCAAACATCAAAAACCCACAATGTAGACTCGCCAAATAATGTATGTGAGAGGTCCTAAGAGACAGTCCGATCCAGGGTTAGCGTGCCAATGCATCGAGCCTATTTCCAGAGGAATCGGGCACGAACCCGCGACAGGGTAACAGTTATGCTGTGAGAAGCGATAATAATTGATCAAAATTTGAAGTATTCTGCACTACGCATGTTGCAAAAGCCGTATGTTACAATTCCTAGGAGACAGTCGTATGCTCCGCTCAAATGCGCATACGACCAGCCTATTTCTGAGGGAAACGGGCCAGAACCCAGGCCAGGGCGAGCGTTGCATTCCGCGGGGATCAAAACCGGCCCAAAACGGAAAAAAAAAACCGGTCGCGCCCTAAGTTCTGCAAAGAGCTGTAATGGAATTGACATTATTTCAGAGCAGCTGCGGGCGTGCACCCAACGTGCACCGCGCACCACGTCCGATATAATGTCACTGTTCTGCGGTTAATAAGTAATCGACTTTTCGGTCGACCGGTAGCCTCTGGTAGCGCTGGACAATGAATGAATGTTCAGCATGCATGCGATTGGGTGAGAATGGGAACCAGGAAATTAAACGGGATTGTGCAGGATTGCGTGAACCGGAGATCTGTACATTGAAGTCAGAATTACATTTGCAGCAGTGAACTCTCACAGAGCGAAGATGGCCAAAAATTTTAAGTTGAGACGTACTCGGACGCTGGGAGTTGAGCCCAGGCGACGTGCTTGACTACTTGAAGATTCGTCAGCTAAGAACGGCAGGGGTGCACCGTGCACGACGTCCGAGATATCTATACCCCTTTTCTGTCAGCTGAGTGAGCTATCTTTGGAGAGAGCAGCCGTCCCACAAGCCAATGTCCACTTCAAGGGGTGGTTTCGAAGTACTCTGATGAACTGAGTGCGAGATTTATGTCAAAGAGATTGAGCAAGGAAGACATACACATCTAAAAGCAAAAAGGCATCCAGGAAACAGCTTCGATTTAACTCGGTGCTGGAATGGAAGAAAAGGGCATATCCATGAATATGGCGCATCCGGACGCTGGGAGTCGAACCCAGATCACCTGCTGGAGCCCATATGATCAGCCAATGAAGGGCAGGTGTGCGCCGTGCACAACATCCGAGGTATCTGTACTGGTCTTATATAGACTGAGTGAGCAAGGGTAGCCGTACCGCAAGCCAATCTCCACTTCGGTGCCACCAGGGCTGATTTCCAGTTCGAAGCATCGTTCAAAATATCGTTCATAGTCTCCTGAACTTGGTGCCTGGGTTGTGTTGAAAGTTTTGAGGGAGGAAGACGTACAAGTGGAAGATAAAGACAGAATCTACTCGTTTTAATTGATCCTGGAAGAAAGAAAAAGTGAGCGGATTCGCAAATGGTACATTCGGAAGTCTGGAGTCGAACCCAGACCTCCCACCTAAATATTCGCTCTCCGACGATCGATAAGCAAGGGGCGTACACCACACACCACGTCTGAGATACCAGTGGCGGTTTCCCGTGGGTAGGGCCGCGAATTCAAAGGCACGATGTTGGTGACAGGCATTGTAGCATTGGGTTAAAAGGAGATCGAACGGGACGATATCTCGGCCAAAATAATGAAGTCCGCTCTGAGCTGAATCATCGACTCGAGGTACATATTTCCTTGTTAGCAGAGGAATGACCAAAAGATGAGCGTTTCGTCCTCATTCGCAGGCTGGGAGTCGAACCCACCACTTTTTTGGGTCCCTAGTCGTGGGCTGCGAAGTGTGTGTACGTACGTTCAGCATCTGTATGTGTGTGCGCTGGAGATACTTAGAAATAATGAAATTGTGAAAGATTCAACTCGCACCTGTGTAAATTGATGAACGGGGATTGTTCAACTTTCAACACCGGAAGACTGGTGATGCCAACACTTACGAACGGAAGTCGGCCAAAAAGAGTTTGTAAACCATATACTCGGGCGCTGGGAGTCACGAAGGAACGCAATCAAACGAGGGATTGCGTCAAACAAAATTCCAGACATTGAACGATGGCACAGTTGCACCCCTGAAACACTCCCCGAGGGATCCGAGAGATATCCAAAAAGATCTTCCGAATCGCTCCACTCGGGCGCTGGGAGTCGAACCCAGATGTTCGACTTCGGTCCTCCTTGTCGCTGTAAGGATGAACTGGTGGGCGCCGCGCTCGAGGTAATGTATCTCGTTTGCAGTGCGCTAGGTACCTCATTCTGCCTGATCTCGACGCCTTGAAGTGATCTCGGTCGGGAGAAGATTGAGACGCAGATGCGTCATTGATTTATGGAGACCCCGACCTGCGCCAGAATTAGCTTACGGGGAGTCTGAGAAAGTTCGAAAAAAGAAAGAAAAAAACCTCTGGCAAATCTATGAATTCGGACGCTGGGAGTTGAACCCAGGATTTCCCGCTTAAACATCCAGTCTCTCTTCTTGATGAGTGGGCGTGCACCGCGCACCACGTCCGATGCAACAATACCCGTTCACGATGGGACAAGTGCCAGTGTTTTCGTGATCCTGTTCGTGTGCTGCAGATGTAGAGGAGCTATTACAGTAATTTTCTTTTTTTTTCAAAAACTTCCACAGAAACAATAATGGGACTGGACTCAAATCGCAATGTATCAGTGAACTGTGAACATTAGTTGTGATGTTGAAACTCGCCTTGATCAGGGAACACGGACAAAAACGTTTTCTTATCGGCCCACTCGGGCGCTGGGAGTCGAACCCACTGGCTTCGGTCTGCCTGCCACTTCCAAGGAAAGAGGAGCTGGCGTGCGCCGCGCGCTGCGCTCGGGATATTGTCTGTGTTTTGCAATGGAATCCTGAATGAGTTACCGATTTCGAGCAACGTAGGATTGGCCACGCTTCTAAAGAGGATCAAATTCAACTGAGAACTGTCGGACAACCTGTGGAACTAAAAATCATCTGGAAGCATCAGGCAAGGGGTACCCGAGAAAAGGAGCGAAAAAAAGAGAGAGAGAAATACCTAAAAACGTTCACGATGAACATGGAAATTCGGACGCTGGGAGTCGAACCCAGGATTTCCCGCTTTGATGTTCATGCAAGACCCAAAAGCAGCGGACGTACACCGCGCACCACATCCGAGATACCTGGCTGTTTCGAGGGTGAGAGATCCGTGTAGCACGATAGAGCAAGGTCGATGCTTTTGGAGGTTTGAGTGATATTTTGATGCGCATGCAGGCATGGTAAAAAACGCACGGGTGGATTGGGTTTGGAAAGGCTGGTCCCGGCTGTTGTGTATGAGGGAAGTTGAAGTAAGCTGAACGAACTCATAGCTCCGCGTTCAATTAACATCTGATCTCCAAGAAGAACTTCAAGCGTTTTGAAAGTTGAAACGGAGAGTTGAAAAACAGACTCGCTCGCATGGACCCTCCGGTTAGCGTACTTAGAAGGCGAGCGCTACAGGCATGGAAGTGGAATGGAAGAAGATAAACGGAGTTGAGTGGGCGAGTTCGGAATACTCTGTTTTGGCCTTGGCATCCTTCCATAGAGAGCTCAACCGGGCAACCTGTAGATTCTAGAAACGGACCAATCAACAACGAAGAAAAAATCCAATCGCTGGTGCCATTCGGACGCTGGGAGTCGAACCCAGGCCTCCCGCTCGAAAGCACATGGGATCTCTTCCATAAGGCGCAGGTGTGCGCCACACACCACGTCCGAGATAATGTCTTCGGTTTGCAGTAGAATGAGTCAGTGATTTGGAGCAACGTAGTCTCGGCCATGCAGACTCAACCGATTGCAATGTCAATGTGAACACTGGCCGGAGGGAACGGAGGACTGAAAAGTTCGGGTAACTGGGGCGCCGGGAGCCAAATTTGAACCCGGGTTCAAATTCGGTCTCCATTGATTCGCCAATGCGCTCTGAATCTTGCAGGTGGCCGAGGGAGGGAATTCTGGTTGTAAGTCGTTTCGATACCACGGCGCAGGTGCCAGGAGCAATATCGAGAGGATTGAACTGAGAGGAAGTCAGATCTGTCTGTACCGAACAAGTCGGCATAACAAAAAAAATGCTCTTCGCAAACAGCACTGATTCGGACGCTGGGAGTCGAACCCAGATATCCCGCTGAATAAATCATATAACCCGGTCAGGAGCAGCAGGTGTGCACCGCGCACCACGTCCGAGATATCTATACTGTTTTGTAGCGCAATAATATGGTGTCGCGCTGCCTGAAGTCGTCGATGTCGTCGGGACTGAAAAGATCGCACCACACTGGCTGAGATCATTTGACTCGCCGGTGTACGGCAACTTCCGCTTGCTTGATTGAGCGAGGCCTTACTTGAGTTTAGCGTGCAGTTCGTGCCTCACAGCGCCTTGACTCAAGTGGCAACCTGGTCAACGAAAAAGGAAGAACAAAAACAGTGTTTGCACATTCGGATGCTGGGAGTCGAACCCAGGGATCCCGCTTGATCATATGGACAAATACACACGCAGCGGATGTGCACCACGCACCACGTCCGATATATTGAGGATGTTCTGCGGTGGGGTAAGTAACCGACTTTTGGGCTCCTGGCCAAAGCTACTGGACGTTCAGCATGTGGGAGTGTGAGATAAAAAAGTGAGGACTGGAATGAATTCAAAGTGCACCTGTGTGAATATCTGAACAGAGACTTCTGAACTTGTTCTGAACCTCGCCGCAGAGAAGACGGACACAAAACCTTCATCGTCACGAACTACACGAGCGCTGGGAATCGAACCCAGGCATCGATCGCGCTGCGGTCTGATATCTTGCCGCTTTGAGGACCACAGGCTGCGCGGCGCTTGATGTAATGTCTCTGATGTGCAGTGGGTGGAGTGAACGATTTCGAGATGCTCCGGTGGTCCATTCTCGACGATTGAACCGAGGACTGCCTCAGAACATGTCGGAAAACCTAGACAACAAAACTAGTTGGAGGGAAGTGAGCTACAAAGAAAACAAGATAGCTGAAAGTAGAAATACCTGCGAGGCTCTGGTGAATTCGGATGCTGGGAGTCGAACCCAGGCTTCCCGCTTGATGGATTTACAAGTATAAAAGCAGCGAGTGTGCACCGCGCACCACGTCCGAGATATCTATACTGGTTTGCAGTGGAATGAATGAATGGGTGATTTCGAGATGGCGTGGCACCGGCGTCTGTGAAGAGAAGACAGTGTTGGCGTGTACAGAACCGGTCGACGAAGAAGGGAAAGAGTTAGACCTGGTCAACGAAAAAGGAAGAAAAAAAGCGTAAGGCTTTTGCACATTCGGATGCTGGGAGTCGAACCCAGGTCTCCCGCTTGACAGTGTTTCAATACATACACAAGCAGCAGAAGTGCCCCGTGCACCACGTCCGATATACATTCCTGTTTCGGAGCTCAGATATGTATGCAGCGCAAAAGAGAGAGCATGGGGGATGCCTTTCGAGTTTAGTTGAGTTGGAGTGATGATTTGATGCGCATGCAAATATGGCAAAAAAACGCACAAACGCGCAGGTGAATGGAGTCGGGGATGTGTAAGGGCTGGCGTCGGCTGTTGTGTGTGTGGGAAGTTGAAAGAACCTCGTCGCTGCGAGGTTCGAGTAAGATCTGAGATCCGAGAAAAGACAAACGTTTAGGTTTTTGAAAGCTGAAACGGACAGTGGAAAAGTAGATTCGCTTGCATGGACGCTGGATCCGGCTTGCGTCAAAGACCAGCTCTACAGCCACGCAAGCGGAATGGGGGAGAAGAAATCGACGGAGGACCAGAGGCTGGCAGCGTCGCACATGGTGGCCGGAAGCAAACCCACCCGGGTTCTCCCGGCTCCGCCAAGACTGTAGTTAAAACATTGCATCATGTGCCGTCGGCCCGTTGTCTTGTTGCGGTCTCCACGCTGCGCCCACAGCAGCCTCTTCCCATCTCTCTCTCCAGCCCACCCGGTCGTGGGCTCCAACTCTTCACGGCGCCAGCTATGCTGGGTGCAACCTCTATTTATCGAACCCAGGCCTCCCGCTCAAGAGCATTGGGAGAATATTTATAAGGCGCGGGCGCGCACCGTGCACCATGTCCGAGATAATACGGCTGTTCTGCGGTGGGGTAAGTACCCGACCTTTCCCACTCGTCGGCTGCGAAGTAAATGTCGACATTCAGGGTGCGGATGAGGTGGAAAAATAGGACTGGAATGGATTATCACGACGGACTGCGGGATTCTGTCAGTTCTGAACATTCAGAGGAAACAGGATCGTGATGTTAGACGCGCCCCAGAGAAGACGGACTAAAAGATCTTGAAGTTTCGGGTCGAACAACTCCGCGGGAAATTCCGAACACTGGTCTAGAGTTTGAGACCGACAGAAGTCGGACAGCTTATCCTTACGGGAATCTGAGAAAGTTCAAGGAAAGAAAAAAAGGGGAGCATTCATTGCTCGTACCAATTCGGACGCTGGGAGTCGAACCCAGACTTCCCGCTTGAATCATGTCACGGAGTCAATGTATAAACAGAGGGCGTGCACCGCGCATCACGTCCGAGATACCTTGCTGTTTTGGGGTTGAGAGATCCTGTAGGGTGATAGAGAGAGCATGGGGTGGACGCTTTTGGAGTTGGAGTGATGTTTCGACGGGCACGCAAGTACGCACGGCGGAAATACGGGTCATGGATCTTGGAACGCCCGCTCGGATGTTGGGTATCAGGGAAGTTGAAGGAACCTCGTACCTCCGACTCGCCGAGGTTCGAGTAAGATTTGAGTTGAAGAGAAGCAAACGTGTCGTCAGTTGAAACGGAGAGTTGTTGTTGAAACATCAACTCACCTGAAAGGACCCATGATGTGCACCGGCTTGCGTAGAAGACAAGCGCTCCAGCTCAGCCTCCGCAAGTGGAATGCGGGAGAAGAAATCGCCGAAGGACCAGCGTCGCAGATGGTGGCCGGAAGCAAACAGACCCGGGTTCTCCCGGAACCGCCAAGACTGTACTTCAAACATTGCATCATATGCCGTCGGCCCGTTGTCTTGTTGACCAGGTCCGATAAAATGCAAATAAATTGAGCCTATTTTGCGGTTCATGAGTAACCGACTTCTCGGTCGACCGGTAGCCTCTGGTAGCGCTGGACAATGAATGGCCGTTCAGCATGCTAATGGCTCATGGGTGAGATATGCATATGGAAACCAGGAAATTAAACGGGATTGTGCGAGATTGTGTCAACCGGAATTCTGTACATTCAAGTCGGAATTGTTTTTGCAGCAGTGAACTCTCACTGACACAGAGCTAAGATGGCCAAAAAATTACTTGCGTTTAGACGTACTCGGCGCTGGGAGTCGAACCCAGGCGACGTGCTTGACTACTTGAAGATTCGTCCGCTAAGAACGGCAGGCGTGCACCGTGCACGACATCCGAGTATCTATACCCCTTTACTGTCAGCTGAGTGAGCGATTATTGGATAGGGTAGCCGTACTGCAAGCCATCTTACTGTCCACTCCAGGGTCAGAGCTGATCCATAGGGCAATTCTTTTGAGATACGGTTCGTATGTTCGAACCTGTTTGTATGTTCTGACCAAAGAAGACTTACCTATCGCTGTCTAAAAGAAGCGTTGCTTTGATTTTGATTTTGAATTGGTTCTGGAGTGCAAGAAAAAAGAAGCTGAATGAACCGCGCACATCCGGACGCTGGGAGTCGAACCCAGATCACCTACTGGGATACACTCACTTCTACACATTGAGGGCAGGCGTGCGCTGTGCACGACGTCGAACATAATGTTTTTTGAGGAGGGTAGACCAATGTCCAGCCTGTTGGCCCGGGCTGATTCGCCTTTCGAGATAAAGCGAATATTAGTGGCCTGTTTAACTCAGTACGAGGTTTGTGGTCAAAGGAATTAGGCAGGACGCTTAAGGCGTAGCCAACAAAACAAAAAACAGCGCCGAGAGAGGATTCTTCCTGATGAAAAATTACCCTTTCTCTCAACGATCCGAACGCTGGGAGTCGAACCCAGATCATTCGCTGGATTTGCATAGTTAGAGCTTATGAAGGGCTACGTGCACCGTGCACGACGTCCCAGGTATCTATACGCTTTTTCTGTCGGCCGAGAGAGTGATTTTTGAAGAGGGCAGCCATACAGCAAAGCCAATGTCCACGTTGGTGCTAGCAGGACTCCTATGAGTGGGTAAAATTTTGAAATACAGTTCACAGTAAATCCCTGAACTGCAGAGTTCACGGAAACTTAACAACTCCGTGAACTGCTGATCAACCTACCTCCCGACTCGTCCCGCCTACCATCATCACTGAGAGTAAGCTGGTGTTGGCGGCACAGTGGGTATATATGGAAAGCGCGAACGAGGCTTTAGTGTGCTAACCTGAGATGCCCCGGCTCGGGGGACCCAAGGGGAGGTGCATCGAATGGTTGGTCCCATTCGCGGGCAGGGCCTATATAAGGTCGTGTTCACAGAGTTCACGCAGTTCACGGTCAACTCCGTGAACTCTGCAATATATGTATGTTCTCACGGTTCAGATGTTCGAACCAAAGACTTACCTATCGCTGGCTAAAGGAAGTACTTTGATTTGTTTGGTTCTTTGAATTGGTTCTGGAGTGCAAGAAAAAGGCAGCCACATAAATCTCGCGCATACGGACGCTGGGAATTGAACCCAGGGCACCTGCTTGACTCTAAAGCTGTTCCCCGAGCAAGAAGGGCAGGTGTGCGCCGTGCACGACATCCGAGTACTGTATTATTTCGTTCAATTCGACCAGGGGTGTGACGTGTGACGCTTTTTACCGATCCGACCATCCGACCACAGGCCGATTTTTGCGTGACAAAACCGAAAATTTCAACCACCGCAGCGAAAATTTTGGGTTTTTTTTCATGGCGGACGCCAAAAAATGCAGTTTTGGACCCTGCGTGACATATTTTGCCTTCGACCAGACCCCGAGTGACGCGTGACACTGCACCAATATTCGCCATCGACCAGAGGGTGCGTGACGCGTGACGGTCGAATTGAATGAAATAATACAGTATCTGAATCTTACTCCTTTGCTGTCAGCTGAGTGAGCGATTATTGGATAGAGGGCAGCGGTACCGTAAGTCAATGTCCACTTCGGTGCCACCAGGGCTGATTCGCAGTTCAAAGTATCGTTCAGAAATATCGTCCATAGTCTCCTGAACTTAGTGCCTGGGTTGTGTTGAAAGTTTTGAGGGAGGAAGGTATATCTTGGGACGCTGGGAGTGGAACCCAAGCATCCCGTGTGAATTCACTGTCACTTGTAGCATTAGGACCATGTCCGAGATGGAGGAGGGGCAGGTCCGCTTTCGATTTTGAGGGACAATTTTGGTGACGGACATTGTGGCATTGATCTAATTACATCAAACGGAACGATACCTCTGGGGAAAAAATGAACTCAGCCCTGAGCTTTTAGTCTCGACGTAAGATCTATTTCCTAGTCAGCGAATTACATAGTGAGGAAGGAAAAAGAATCGCGCCATCGTCTTCATTCGGACGCTGGGAGTCGAACCCAGATCACCTGCTGGAGCCCACATTATCAGCCAATGAAGGGCAGGTGTGCGCCGTGCACAACATCCGAGGTATCTGTACTGTTCTTATATAGACTGAGTGAGCAAGGGTAGCCGTACCGCAAGCCAATCTCCACTTCGGTGCCACCATGGCCGATTCGCAGTTCGAAGTATCGTCCAGTATCGTCCAAATATTATTCATAGTCTCCTGAACTTAGGGCGTGGGTTAGAAGTTTTGAGGGAGAAAGGCGTACCAGTGGAAGATAAAGACAGGATCTACTCGTTTGATTTGATCCTGGAAGAAAGAAAAAGTGAGCGGATCCGAAAATGGTACGTTCGGACGCCTAGAGTCAAACGCAGACTTCCCACCTAAATATTCGCTCTCCGACGATCAATAATCAAGGGGCGTACACCAAACACCGCGTCCGAGATACCATTGGCGGTTTCCAGTGAGTAGGTTCGCGATTTTCGAGGCACAATGTTCGTGACAGGCATTGTAGCATTGGGTTAAAAGTAGATCGAATGAAACGATATCTCGGCCAAAATAAATGAAGTCCGCTCTGAGCTGAATCATCGACTCGAGGTACATATTTCCTTGTTAGAGGAGGAATGGCCAAAGATGACCGTTTCGTCCTCATTCGCACGCCGGGAGTCGAACCCAGGCTGCCCGCTTGAACGGTTCCGAAGCAACGATCTTATAAGTAGCGGGTGTGCGCCACGCACCACGTCCGATACAATGAGCCTATTTGGCTGCGGGGTGAGTAACCCACTTTTTGGGTCCCTAGTCGTGGGCTGCGAAGTGATTGTACGTTCAGCATCTGTATGTGTGCGCTAGAGATACTTAGAACTAATGAAATTGTAAAAGATTCAACTCGCACCTGTGTAAATTGATGAACGGGGATTGTTCAACTTTCAACAACGACAGACTTGTGATGCCAACACTTGAAAAGATAAGACGAGCAAAAAAGGGTTTGAAAACCCATATACTCGGGCGCTGGGATTCACGAAAGCACAGAATCAAACGAGGGATTGCGTCAAACAAAATTCCAGACATTGAACGACGGCACACTTGCACCACTGAAACACTCCCCAAGGGATCCGAGAGATAGCCAAAAAGATTTTCCGAAACGGGTCGCTCGGGCGCTGGGAGTCGAACCCACATCCGGCCTGGGTTTGCCTCGACACTGTATAGAAGCGCTGGCGCACCGTGCTCGAGGTAACACATCTGGCGTGCAGTACCCGATATCGTCCTCATCTCGCCGCCGCGGGGAATCTCGAAGACGGGTCTAGAGTTTTGAGACGCAGATGGATGTTTGATCTATGCGGCAGAAGTCGTACGACCTATACGAGAGAATTAGCTTACAGGGAGTCTGCGAAAGTTCGACAAAAGGGGGGAAAATGCCTATGGCAAATATATGAATTCGGACGCTGGGAGTCGAACCCAGATATCCTGCTGAATAAATCATATAACCCGGTCAGGAGCAGCAGGTGTGCATCGCGCACCACGTCCGATATACTGAGCCTATTTCGCGTGGGATAAGTACCCGACGTTTTGGACCCCTGGTTGCGTGCTACAAAGCTAATGGACGTTAAACATGCGGAGAGGTAAGATAGTAGGGCAGCTAGGAAATCAAACGAGATTGTGTGGGATTGCGTCGACCGAAATTCGAAACATTCAAGTCGGAAACGCATTTGCAGCAGGGAAACTAAAGGCGGTCAAAAATATCAGGTCCCTCTGTTACTCGGGCGCTGGGAGTCGATCCCAGGCTTCCCGTTTGATCGACTGGCAAAGATACAACAGCAGCGGGCGTGCACCACGCACCACGTCCGAGATATCTATACTGGTTTGCAGTGGAATGAATGGGCGATTTCCGATGGTGTGGCGCTGCCTGTGAAGAGAGAACAGTGTTGGCCTGTACAGAATCGGTCGACGAAGAAAAGGAGTTATACCTGGTCAAAGAAAAAGGAAGCAAAAAAGCGTAACGGTGTTCGCACATTCGGATGCCGGGAATCGAACCCAGGGATCCCGCTTGAATTGTACTGCATCTTCTACGCATGGATAGCAAGTGTGCACCGCGCACCACGTCCGATATAATGAGCCTATTTCGCGTGGGATAAGTACCCGACTTTTGGACTCCTCGTGGTCGTGGCTTGGAAAGCAAATGAACGTTAACGTCAAACATGCGGAGAGGTGAGATAGTAGGGTGACTAGGAAATCAAACGAGGGATTGCGGGATTGCGTCGACCGAAATTCAAAACATTCAAGTCGGAAACGCATTTGCAGCAGGAAAACTAAAGACGGTCAAAAATATCGGGTCCCTCTCTTACTCGGGTGCTGGGAGTCGAACCCAGGCTTCCCGCTTGATGGATTTGCAGGTATAAACGCAGCGAGTGTGCACCGCGCACCACGTCCGAGATTTCGTGGGTTGCAGTGGAATGAGTGTGAAGAGAGGCCTCGATGGAGACAATTCAGTCGAATAAGAAGGGAAAGAGTTAGAGCTGTACAAAGGAATCAGTCGATCTGCGGTCTGCAGAGAGAAAGAGAGAGAAAAAGCATTGGAGAATGACGCCATCCGAACGCTGGGAGTCGAACCCAGCCCTCCCGCTTCAACGCACCGAACGGCTTAAGAGCAGCGGGCGTGCACCGCGCACCACGTCCGAGATATCTGCACTGTTCAATGAGCCGATTTGAGAGGCTCTTGTGCAACCTCGAAAATGTGTTCACAGAGGAATCATCTAGCACGGAGGAATCATCTAGCACGGAGTAATCCTGTATAGAAGAATGAGTCGGGGCCGCAAGCAAGGAGGCTGGCTAAGTAAGTGTAGTTCAGAATAATAAAAAAGAACAGTGAAGACAAGAATGATTCGGACGCTGGGAGTCGAACCCAGATTGCCCGCTTGAATCATGTCACGAAGTCAATGTATAAACAGAGGGCGTGCACCGCGCACCACGTCCGAGATACCTTGCTGTTTTGGGGTTGACAGATCCTGTAGCGTGATAGAGAGAGCATGGGTGGATGTTTTTGGAGGTTACTTGAGTTGGAGCGATGTTTTCATTCGCATGGAGGCACGGCAAAAACGCCCAGAATGCAGATGAATTGGGTCGGGGATCTGCAATCGGGGTTGAGAGATCCATGGCCATGTAGCGCGATTGAGCATGATGGATGTTTGGGAGCTTAGGTGATATCGTACGGCGCACTGCGCAATGCCCTCGAGATTTTGTAGGGCGCCGGACGAGGGAGGGACTTCTGATGGTAAGTGATTTCGATATCGCGGAGTAGGGGCAACATCGGGACGATTGAACTAAGAGGCTGTCTGTACCAGGCATAATCAAGAGAAAAAATTGGTTTCTAGGCGCTCATTCGGACGCTGGGAGTCGAACCCAGACTTCCCGCTTGACTGTGGTTCAACCGCTACACGCAGCAGGAGTGCACCGCGCACCACGTCCGAGATACCTGTCTGTTTCGGGGGTGAGAGATACTGTAGCGTGATAGAGAGAGCATGGGTGGATGTTTTTGAAGTTGCAGTGACGTTTCGATGCGCATACAGGCGCCGTAAAGAAAAACGCACTGACAGGTGAAGTGGGTGGGGATCCAAGGCTGGCGTCGTATTTTGTGTATGAGGGAAGTTGAACGAACCGCATCCCTGCGAGGTTCGAGTAAGATCTGAGATCCGAGAAAAGAGTCTTTTCTAAACATTTAGGTTTTTGAAAGTTGAAACGGACAGTGGAAAAATAGATTCGCTTGCATGGACGCTGGATCCGGCTTGCGCCAAAGACCAGCTCTACAGCCACGCAAGTGGACTGGGAGAAAAGAAGTCGACGGAGGACCAGCGTCGCACATGGTGGCCGGAAGCAAACCCACCCGGGTTCTCCCGGCTCCGCCAAGACTGTAGTTAAAACATTGCATCATGTGCCGTCGGCCCGTTGTCTTGTTGCGGTCTCCACGCTGCGCCCACAGCAGCCTCTTCCCATCTCTCTCTCCAGCCCACCCGGTTGTGGGCTCAACTCTTCACGGCGCCAGCTATGCTGGGTGCAACATCCATCTATTCCGTGGGCGAGCGGAATGTCGCTATCGTGAGTGCCCCTACAGACCATCTCCGAGGTCGATTTTTAAGAGCGAGGGCTCATCCAATCACTCCGCACAGGTGCTCGTCGTCTGCGGGCTAATCTCGCTCCTCGCGCTCCTTGTTCTGTTCGGGGTGCGTCCCGTCCCTCCTCCTTCCCCCCTTCTTCTCCTCAATCCCATCCAAAAACAACGCCGAGATCTGACCGCCGATCCTTTCCTTTTGGCGTCCCTTTTGACATCCGTACTTACTTGACACCCGTACTTACTTGGCACCTCCAGCGCATGGCCGCGGCGTTCGTGTCCGGCACACGACTCTACCCACACACCCACTTCCAGGCGTACTTCGTCTGTCTCCTCGTCGCCAACGCCGTGCAGGCCCTGGGCGTCATCATGGGCCTCAAGTGGGTCGGGCTGCGCATCCCGGGGATTGTGGAGGGGCAGTTTTGTGCGCTGCAAGGTGCGTTGCGTTGCGTTGCGTTTCCATCCCCCACCGATTCTCACCGAGTACGACACACCGAATCGCAGGTAGCCTTACTCTGGGAGGAAATATCGGGACCGCCGTCTGGTGAGTTGTGCTTGCCTTCCTTCTCTATAACTTGAACTAACTCACCACCCTCCCCTCTCTTTCTTGCTCTTTTGCTCTTTTTTTATGCTCGCAGGTCCCTCTGCATCTCCCTCCACCTCTTCAACCTCCTCTTCCTCCGACACATGTCCTCCCCCCTCGTCTCCCGCGCCATCATCGTCTTCGGCTGGAGCTTCATCGTCAGCATCGTCTTCCTCGGCCCCGTCGCCCTCGAGCGTCCCGCGCGGGGCCATTATTTCGGGATCTCGGGGCTGGCGTGCGGGATCACGGATCGGTATCGGAAGGAGAAGATCTGGTTGGAGTATTTTATTGTGAGTCGATCTTATTCATGGGCTGGCGCGTGAGCGACTGCCCGACGTATTTCCTATCCGCGCTGAGCCGTTAGGCGAGTGGCTCTTCGCGCCGCAGGCAATCCAACGTGAGGGCTGGTCCGTGAGGACCTGCCCGACGCATTTCCCTTCGACTGACCGACGTATTACCTCTCCGCTCTGCGCGACGCGGTTTATCGGGCGCCGCAGGCAATTCGTCCCTTCGGGCCGCCTGCCCGCTGCATTTCATCGGGCGCCGCAGGCCGATGAACTGGAGCGAGCCGTTATGCGAGTGGCTCTTCGCGCCGCACGCAATCCAACGGGGCTTGTTCCCCGGGCTGGCGCATGAGCATCTGCCTACACACATTCGTGACTTGTGCCGCGGGCCATTCGATCATGGCGCCCGCGGCCGGACGCGGCCGGACGCCTGCTTTGCGTCCGCTGCAATTCATCCTGCCACAAAATCGATAACACTCCCATTTATCCTCGAACTAACCCCTCCTCACAGCAAGCCCTCGCAGTCGTGCTCAACCTCCTCCTGCACACCGCCACTTTGCTACGCGTGCGCGGGAATCTGCTGCACGTCTCCGTTGACGAAACTCCTACTCGCGACGGCGAAACTCCTACTCGCGACGGCGGAAATGATACTAAACTGGGCGCAAGTGGAAGTGATACTCAGGATGGAAACTTGAAGAAAAGCAACACGAAAAAAACTAAAACGGAGCCAAAACGCCGCTGGCGCCTGCGCTTCGTCCCGTCCGCGGAGCGGTGGCAGCTCGCGCTCGTGCGGGATTTCACGGACTCGACGGTGTTGAGGCTGGCGCAGCATATGATTTGGTAAGTGTGTCACTGTCTGCTTTTACGTTACGCGTTCCGTTTCTTTTCGTCGTATTCGGTTTCTTTTCTTTTGGTCGTACCCGGTTTCAAGGCTGGGTTTGTTCGCCTCTGCATGCATCCCTTTGCGTGTCGTAAGAATGGACGCAGATGGACGCAAAAGCGCAATGCCAATCTTATGGCAACGAAACCGAGCTAAAAGAAACCGAGCTAGAAACAACCGAGCTAAAAACGCTAACACGCACACAGGTACCCCCGTCGCGTACGCGGTGACGCTCTTCCCGCTCGGCTTCGCGCGCTTCATGGAGTTCTGCGGGATGCCCGTGCCGCTGTGGGCCGACGCGCTCGTGCGGTGTGTTTATGATCTGGGGGGTGAGTGTTGCGATTTTTGTTATTTTGTTATGGGTGGTTTTTCTACTTGAATTTCGCACTTTATCTATTTTTTCCTTCGTTTTTTCTCTTCGTATTCGCGTATCTATTTTTCCCTTCTCATTCGTGGTGGTCGTTTTATTATTATGAGTGGCGTTTGCTCATTGTCCTCGCTCTTATTCTCATTGTGTTTTGCTCTCATTTCGGCGTCCTCATTTGCCAATTCTTACTCACCTACATACACTTCCTCTTCCCTCCATTCCGCATCCTATTCTCAACCCTGCCTCCCGCCCACCCGTTCGGCCTTACCCATTTATCATTCATCTGTTCAAATCCGTTCCCCTTTTACCCTCCCTCCCCTCTTCCTTCCTTTCACCCCAACTTACTCACACCCCAGGCCTCCTCAACACCCTCCTCTTCTTCTCCGTCCGGCGCGTCTTCCCCGACCTCGACGCTGCGTTCACGGCGCCAAGAAAGGACCTCGAGGGGCGCGTGGCGAGGAGTGGGGTGGAGCCGTTTGTTCTTACGAGGAGTACGAGCGATAGTCGGCAAGTGGCGCAGTAGGAGGCGACGCAATGAGGGGAAGAGGCAGTGAGTGGAAGATTGGTTGCTCCCTGGTGGAGAGAGCCGGGCTACCCGAGTGCGCGTATATACATACAGTCGGCGGCGGTTGGAATGATAACTGGGTTGGATGCAGGACTTGCGCCATGGATGGACAAGACAAGACATTGTGCGATAACAAGCCAAGCAAGAACTTGACAATGAATTCGTCGAGGGACCCTCGGTACTCATCTGCTCGATTGCCGCTGCTCATTTATTCGAGCGTGGCTATGGCTACTCTGTCAATGCGCACCTACGTCCGCCTGTGTTGTCGCTTGTGAGTCTCCAAAGGAAGGGGGTGCGTATTCGTATTCAGTCTAATTTCAAAATAAAAAATCGGCGTCCCAGTCATCTCACCTCCGAAGAGCGATTCTGAGTCGGACTGGGGAATGGTGCACGCCTGCTATCCGTGCGTGCGTTCGAAATGCACTGCGTGGCCACGTGGGCGGGAGCAGGGAGTGGGTTCGATTCCCAGCCGCTTAATGAGAGAGAGAAGCTCAGCCATTTTTTTCTTGCTTCCCGTCCCTTCTGTGGGTATCTTCAAGTTATCCGTTCTGTGTGTAGGTTTTGAATTCTCACTACCCGGATTACACCTTGACCTCTCTACCTACTGCAGTTTCAACGGCGAACACTAAAATGTATGTCACCGCAATCCGCTGGGACGACTGAGACCGCTCACTCAAGGGCCAGAAAAGCTGTACAGATACCTCGGACGTCGTGCACGGCGCGCGCCTGCCCTTCTTAAGTGGATTTCAACGCGTCAAGCAGGTGATCTGGGTTCGACTCCCAGCGTCCGAATGCGCGATATATATTGAACTGCCTTTTTCTTGTACTCCAGAACCAATTCAAAATCAAAATCAAGCCTTGCTTTTAGATAATCAAAATCAAATCAAACTACTTCTTCTAGTAGCGTTTGTGTTCGACTGGTGTGTCTTCCTTCCTATTGTTTTTACCACAAACCCCGTACTGAGTTTAGCGGATCATTGGCCGTATTTGGAACTCTGAATCAGGCGCCTTCGGATGGCACCGGTTGACAATGACTTACGGTACGGCTGCCCTCTTCAGAATCCCTCACTCGGTCGACAGAAAAGATGCATAGACACTTCGGACGTCGTTCACGGTGCCCGCCTGCCCTTCCTAACTCAGGACTCTGATAGTCCAGCAGGTGAGCTGGGTTCGACTCCCAGCGTCCGGATGTGCGCGGTTTATGGAGCTGCCTTTTTTTTTCGCACTCCAGAACCAAATCAAAATCAAATCCAAGTCTTTCTTGACACTTGTAGATAGCATTTGCGTTCGATAGGTACGTTGATAAGGCGTGCACCAGTGCACGCATGAAAATCACATTTTTCATTCATTTCAAAGACTTATCAATTGACTATGTGAGGCTTAGTTGCAGAATGTACGTTCTCCTCGGAACGGTACATTAGATCTTTGAAGGCCGAAAGCCAATGGGACACTACGTTGTAGCGGCTGAAGACGGTTCGTTATCAACCAGAATCAGTACAGTATGCTTACTGTTGGGCGCCGGGAGTCAGCTAACCACTGGATTCCTTGTGTGCTGGAGATTAAACAAGAGGGATTATTGAAGTTTAGAGTAGCCGCTACTCGCGGCTCGGACCGTTATTGACACAATCTGTCAGAATTGAACTTGGATAATGACTTATGGGAGTAGCCGCCACCCGGCTACCTTCATTTCCATTATCCCCAATTGAATTACGAATGACTACTGAATATGACTTCACTGGCGGCTAGACTTCCGAAGTCGGCTAAACACAGATTATCGAGTAGCCGCCACTGAACTGAATAATGAACAAGTAGGTTGGAGCACCAGCGGCTACTTCCCTTGTGACTCCTAGAATTGAACTATGAAGTGTTGAAGCCTCAGAACCGTCTCTGGCGGCCAGTACGATACTGGCGGCTGGTGAAGCAAAGGTCCTAACAAGGGTCTTCGGACTGGTGGCTAGACTTGGCAACACATGAAATATTGATGAGAATGGTGTCAGACTGGCGGCCAGACCTGGTCGCCATGACTACGCACCCACGGAATTGAATAACGACTCTGCCATTGGCCGCCGGTCATTATGCCAAGCTGGCGGCTCGGTGAAAACTAACCACCGAGGTTTCATATTATCTCCGTTTGTAAAACCAAGTTGTATAAAGCTAGTAGAATTACTCTTGTAACAGTAGTAGACTTCCCCCCCCGCTCGCGGGCTAACAAGTAGACTGTGGATTTGATTGATATTGAATTTGGGTTGCCCGTAATAAGAATTGGATTCTCGTGACGCTTAAGCTCCGAGTTTCTATTAAGATTAGCTAGCCGCCAAGAGTCCAACTCTGCCTAGCCTCTTCTCTTGAAGTGAATCCCAGATTGAGACTTTGTTGACGCTTTAGCTCCGAGTCGCACACGTTATTAACTAGTGCACCCTTGTACTGAGACGTCCAACCCTCCGAGCGGAACTATTTGAAGACGTAGTGAACTTTGTTGACGCTTTAGCTCCAAGTTCCTTGAACATTTTGAAGTCCCAGTTGAAAGACACCACTTTGAGTCTAGCGGCCAAAGCATTTGAAAACCCTTGAAAGCATTTCCGTTGAATTGTGGCTCTAACCGCTACTGCATCTGCCCGCTGAAACAAACCTCTGAAATTGAAACTTGACTATTCTTGAAGGGCGATACACCTGTCCTACCTCCCCGAACACACACGAGACATTTTGGTATTGAGTTGTTGAGATTTGATTAGTGTTTTTGAGTTGTTTAGTGTTAGTTGAGTTCGCTCGCTTTCACTCGCTCTTTAGCATAGTTTTCGATTTCACGGCTGCACCCGAGTGCACCGTTTCACCGGCTTGGGCCTGAGCCCGGGCTTGCCAGCTGATTTTAACTATAACACTCACCGTATACAAAAGCTGTTAGAATTGTGCATCTGATGATATAAAGGGTATTTCTCCAAGAACAGAGTGTCAGACACTTCATATCAGCACTTTCGACGGGCAAACATGCACGTTTCCATTTTGGGATGCTGTGTTGAAAGTTTTTAAACCGGCCGTTTTTACGAATGAGTGTCACACGATTTCATACGCACCTATAGAGCGAAACCAGATCAAGTTTTAACAGTATTTCTCCAGTATTTCTGTCCAAATTCGATGGAATTCAAGAGTAAATACATGCACACCCAAGCCCAGGCTTTGAGCCCTGGCTTAGGGCTTTGAAATTTCAAGCCCGAGCCCTAGGCCCGCAAAAGCCCGACGTCGGGCTTGGCTTGGCTCGGGCCTGGGAGGGCTTGGCTTCGCGGGCTTCAGGGCTTCAGGCCGGGCCTTGGGCATCACTAATCACCATCACCATCATCCAGAAAGTCCAAAGTCCAAACAAAAGGTCGGAATCGATTCCGAGAACAACTCTGAACAACTCATCCACTCTCCCCTTGCCCTAGCAGCACCGCGGCCGGTGACCACACCCGCCTCAGGCTTTCCCAGCAGAAACCACGCCGGGGATATCGATCTAGCAGCATCGCCAACAACCGCTGCATGCAGCATCGCCAACAACCGCTGGTTGCAGCATCGCCAACAACCGCTGGATGCAGCATCGCTGGTTGCAGCATCGCTGGATGCAGCATCGCCAACAACCGCTAGTTGCAGCACGCATCCCCTCTCTCTTTCTGTCCGAAAATCTATCCTCCCTAGGCCTTCCGCCGGTGCTTCAGGACCCAGGTACAGATTGTTGCCAGCGAGTCGGAGCCAGTGGCAGTGACCACCCAGTTTTTTGTCGCTGATATTTTCGCAACGTTGCAGGGATATGCCAGGCCAGGCGCTGTAAGGGGACGCTAGGTAAGGTGCTGTGCACCTTACTTTGCCCCTATTATATTATCATTGTTATACATTGTTTGTACCAGTACTATATAGGGTTGTTGTGCCAACGGGGTGATGGTATCTTTTTAACCACCACCTCCTAGGCCAACACCCTTGTCTATTGAATATAGAACTTGGGCCAGCTTAGTTCAGGTGATCATTAAGACCCCATAATAACACCTTACACTTTTTTAAGCTTCATTGGCTCCCTACCGGAGCAAATCTATATTTTCGACAAAATATACTACTACAATCCTCAAGATGCCTGTCGACAACGTTTCGACAGACCCGGCTGCACCCAACTCGTTGTCTGCAGTATCTACCCAATTCGCGTCTGCGAATACACACGCTGGCGGGGCCAGCGCCAGCCACGTCACTCACAGTGCTGACGTGGCATCGTCAACGGCCGGACCCACACCTCCGGACCAACCTGTCACGATCCCCTCGACTCCCCCGAGGCTAGAAGTCACCATGTTCCACGACGAGCACGGGGCTCCATACTTAGTCGATAGCAACGGCAACCCCGTTATAGTCTATAGTCCCTCTCCGTCGAGCGGTAGTATGCCCGGAGTTCCAATTCATCACTCCACTTTGTTCAATGTGCGACGCACCAGTTCGACCACTGCATCGGCTTTGTCCGACTCGTCGCGAGCGTCACAGACTCGTCCTGAAGAAGAGGACGAGGAAGGCTTATTGCCTGAATTAGACCTAAATATTGACCCGGACGTCCTCACTTCTGAGAACATAAGTCAATTAAATGCCATTCGCGCACATATTGGGACGGCCAACACTCGCCTTGCAGTTACCACTGCTACGCTGGTAGAACACCAAGCTGCGACAGAGAGTATGCACGACGCTATTGACGCTCTGCGTAGAGAAACCGTCTCCCGAGTTGATTCAATGAGAAATGAACTCAACTCACAACGCTCCCGACTGAATCGGGTATTGGACGACAACTACCGAACACTCAAGGATAACGGCGCTTCTACTGCCCAGGTGAACGACCTGTTGGAGGCTATGAACCGTAATGGAGGCGCTCATCGACGACCACGCAAAGACCCTCATATCAATGAGAGCATCTCCAATGCAATCAGGGTTCCCATCCCGGGACCCGTACGCGAACTTGCGAACGCGGTGGTTCCCCCCAGAAGGTCAGACGAGAGTATCGAGGATTTCGATAAACGTGCGGCACTCACTCTAAGGAATAAAGAGCGTGCTCACAACGCGTTTCCCCTCCCTGCCGTCCCTGAGGTTTCACAACGCGATGAGCGTGATACCGAAAATAGGACGCAGCAACATACGCTGCTGAATTCGCAGTATCCTATTACCGCTTCATCTGGCGTACGCCATGGCGGTTTACGCCCCGCACACTTCCGTGACGCGCAGCGCGCTCGATTCGCGGAAGAGCAATCTTCGATATCCACCCATGGCAGGCACACTGGCCTGGACCAACCCGTGTCTGGATACCACTCTGGGATAGGCCTTGGTGGAAGAGATGTGGTGTCAGAATTTGCCAACGACATGAGCGAATTAATACGACTCACCATCGAGCATCGCATCGGCGAGCGGCTCATACTCCCTCCTGGAGTGCGCACCGCTCGGACAGATAATCCTGCGCACTATCAGGGACAGGACGATCAAGAACTTTTCATGAGCCGACTTGAGAAATTCCTAGGATGGATCCACATCAATTGCTGGGGCGGCCCGGACATGAATACCTACCAAGTTGGGTTGATCCACGGGTATCTGGAAGGCGACGCGCATCAGTGGTATATCACTGAGATAGACAACCCGCGCATTGCGGGCAAGGCAAACTTAGACTTTGCCGATATCATATGCGCACTTCATCATCAGTTTGTGAAGTCCTCTAGCGCTCAACGCGCTACCCGCGCATTCCAGGACGTAGCTTGGAACGACGAGAAGGGACCCGAGATCCTTATGTCGCTTCTGATTAAGAA